GGCAAATATAAATTGAAATAAACGTTAATAACAGTAAGGAATATAAGCCAGCGAAAAACAAGGCTGCAAAACGCATGTGAACCGAACCAATTGAATTTTTTTTTCATATGATGATAGTTAAGGCGTGCTTTTGGTAGGGCGAACAATTATAAATTAAAAACCGAATTGTTTCATTTAAATGTCATAAGCTAATGAATCAGCCTTGCTTCATGTATGAACCAGGCTAACAAAACATAGCCTATGGCAGTAAGCTGGTTCAAACTGTGAACTGTGGTAAAAACTAAAAACTTATTCACAAAACAAATGCTAAAAGCCATGTGCTGGCTTAAAGTGTGAACTTATCAAACGAGTTTTATTTGCAGCCCTGGTAAAAACTAAAAACATATTCACAGACTAAAAGGATTAAAGCAATGAGCTATATCAAAGCATGAACGTAACCAGCGAATATTTAGTTTGCAGCCCTGGTAAAAATTTGAATTTATTTATAGAAAAATCATTAGTTTTTGAGCAATTGTGCCTATATGATATAATGGTCTGACCCGGCGAAAAGTTAAGTTTCCATAGACACACACACACACTGCTTATACATACACATATGCTTCAATGTATGAAATATGTAAGTCTACATCAATGTTAAAACCAAAGAAATAATATACTTTTCATGCCATAGAAATTGCTGCTTGGTGGTCCACATTAATGAGCTGATTAAAAGGCCACCTTCAATAAATGTGCGTTAAGTTGATGCTGTAATCCTTATGTGGAAATCTTGTTAGTTGTACTTAAACGTACTCGTTACCTTTTGCTCATTGACGTCATCTACGTAGTTGTGAAGGCTCAAGACCATTTTACGTTTTGAATGCAATTAGCGAGATTTTCAGCTAAGTAGATATAATTATGATTCAAGAAATTTTCACTTTGAAGCAATAAGAACAAAAAAAGAAATAGAAAACTTGTTTTATGAATTGTCGCAAAGGCGACGAGAACGAAACGCAAGCGAGGTTTGAAGGCAACTAAATTGAAGTACGATGATTGATTAATATATATATATAATATATATATACCTTACATTCAGTAGTGAGCGTGTCTCCCTGTGCGGATATTGAAGGGTTGAATACGTAAATAGCTGACAATTCATTAGTGACTACGATACTTACGCTGAGCGAAGATGTTGTGAGGGCAACGCGAAAGGCAATTGAATAAAAGTAGAATCATATAAACATATATCATATAGCATAAGTATATGTATATATGTATACATAATCCAGCTAGTCAAGAGCTAACTATAAATAGTATGCCTGCTGCGGTAAGCGTTGAAGTACAAGTTGCAACTACTTGCTGTTAATGCTAAGAACGACTAAAATTTTGACAGAACGAAAATAGTGGAAGTTGAAAATTGTATGGAAATGGCAAATAACAAATGCCGAGCAGCTACTGCAGCTGGTATTTGCCAGAGAAAAATACTAGACTAAAGTGTGAAATGGATGAGAAAATGCGACAGAGTACAACTGAAGGAAGTTGAACAAGTTGGTGGAGGAGGATAAACGAAAGCCAAGTCAAATATTTGTATAGCTAATATGCACGCCAAAGAAAGTTGTGCGCATTTTTTTTTTCTATATTAGAAATAAATATATGTATAAAGTAGATATGTACTTATGCAACAAATGTATATAAGTAATATATATATATATATATATTTTGATCTAGACGTCACGCACTTTGCTACTTAGTTAAGTTTAGTTGTGAAATATAAAAATAATGTATTTGTATTTGTTATTGTTATTATTGCTATGTGTATATGCATGTGTGTGTGTATGTGTGTGTTTGTTTATTTCAATTTAGCCGGTTGTTTTTCTCGTACTCACCCCGATACGTCCTAGCAGCAGGGCGTCCATTTCGCCGCCATTTTGCGCCACCGGCACAGTGGTTATCACGGATATGGTCGGCTCCTGTTGGGCGCTCAAATCGACCGACATTTTGATAAAGCCGCTTTATGTGTATATTTTTTCAAATATATATGTATATATATATATATTTTTTTTTATAACTGGAACTCCTTATTATTGTTGTGAAACGCACGTATTATTATTGTACTCGTTGTATTGGCAATAGTTACTATTATTATTATTATTAATAATATTACATTTTTATGTAGTTTAGTTTAAGTTTTATTTCATTTGGCGCTCAGTCGCAAAACTTGGTTACTGAAAAGCTGCAAATACAATTGAAATTCCGCAAATGCCATGCAAATTCCGTCATTGATACACATTCAGTTTGACCCGAACTCCCCTTACGACTGCCCAGTTTCGCTTATAGATTCGTGAGCTGGCAAGAATTTTAATTGATTTACTAATTGATGTCAAACAAAGCAACAGCCACTAGTTATACTCCTTAATTGGCCCAAGTGCTCGTCCTCCACAGCGTTGGCAATAAAACAAATCAAGTTAGCAGCAGGTTGCAAGACGCAGACAGGCTATCATATTACTCGACCGTGAGACACACTTTCAACACTTTAAACATGTTTTGCTTATATGAACATATAAATTAAACAATTTCATGTTTAATATCTAATTGCCTTTATTCTGATAAACAGTATATATATATATATATAGTGTGAGTGAGACATCTACACTCAAATACAATTTGATAGTTGGACAGACGTCTTTAGACGTCTTTAGTTTGAGGCAAACCATTCTTAAAAGATGAATGTTCAGTACGTGTTTTAGTTCGGTTTCATGTTATGCATCTGGCTTGGTTCAAGCTTTGAGTCGTAGTTAAAAGTAAATTAAAATCAAAATCCATTTACAGCCTTGTCTCTAAATAGCGGATTTAGTTAAAAACTAAAAGCCTAACTATAATAAATAGCACAGGCTACTATGATATTCAGCATAAGCTAAGATAATTGTTAGTGTATATATCTAAAAGCCTGAATCTAGATTCTGGAATCTCCTTTGTATATATCCATTGTTGTAAGTGCTCTCTATGAAATGCATATCAATCTTCGAATATTAGGTTTTCCATGGTTAGGTTAAGAGGCTTCAAGTTCAGACGTCATTTGCTTCGGAAAGGAACCAGAGTTGTCTGTTCTGTCCTTTTCCAATGTATATATATCATCTAACAAATACTCTAATTGTGCATATACAATAATGCTTAAATATTCAAATTTTAGACATTAAGTACTGAACGCCTTTTGCTGAAGCTCAAATACATTTATCCCTTTTGCGGCCAGATATAGTCTAAAGCTGCCGTCGGGCCTTAAATGCTGTTGGCATTCCGATAAGCCGCACGCTAATTAAAGTTGCCATCTGGATAAGTTATGCATATGTATTGCCCTCGGAGAGCAACTGTCTGCCACGCTTGTCAATAAACACCGGAAGACATATGACAGCTGACAGAGCGCTGAGGGTTGAATGTGTTTCAGGCTGTTGTTGTTGCTGTTGCTGTTGTTGCTGTTGCTGTGACGTTCAACGTTCAACGTGCTGGGAGGTGCGGCCATACGCGTGGCTCAAACACGCGGGCGCTGTCGCTGACATATTGAAATTTTCATTTCCTAAGCAAAAACTTGTGACGCTTGTTGCTATTGTTGGCGGTACGAGGACATGGCATGCCATGCCCTGCCCGACGTTGTCTTGCCATGCCACACGCGTCGTATGCGCAATTTGTAAGCGCTGAAATTGGCATTAACGGCATTACATGCGCTTTACGAGCAGCCAGACTAATGGGGGTCGGGGTATGGACCAACATGCCACAAAAACGTGGCACGCTCCTCGCCAGGTGACTGCGAGAAACCAGCCAAATTGTCTTTACGCAATCATATGTTATATATATAACATGTCTGTTGAAGCAGAAATATTTCCAAGGGTCACATGCAATTCCGCGTGCCATCCAAGCTGACAGCGTCATAAAACCCACATAATATATAAATATCTCTTTTTTTATCATTATATAAAGCCTTATGGAACTGACATTTGAAGAAAAACTGCAGGGTGCCAAAATGCATGAATTGCTGCCAAATGGACCATGTGCTTAGCCAGAGAAAATTGTTAAAAATAATTTGCTATTTGTTCACGCTTATTGAGTTTGACTTAGTCAACAGTTGAATACTTGTTCGCAAAGTGAAAGAAGTATCTTATTTTGGCCCCGCTTCACGCCCGTCTGTCTATATAAAGTATATAGTGTATATATCCGATACATCGCGTAAAGTCTAAAGTTTATATGGGCATCGGATGTAGCAAATCGATGAAATCTATAAATTTATTAATTTCTGCTCAATCGAAGTTAGAAACTTTCTTTTTGCTGGTATATTTGAAAAATTTATTTTATTTTACATTTTACAGCTCAAATTTGCAATTAATTTCTTCTTATTTCTTTAATCAAAATACTTGCAATTTGGGTTATTTACTCATTTTCTGATCAAATATTTTAAGCCGTTTAACTCATAAAATAATCTATAAATTTTATTTAACTGGCTTTCAATTTTGACAGCTACAAAATTCAATTTGAGCGAAATAACAATATGAAATTTTAAATTTCAAATTCTTTCCCAAACGTAAATGTAGCTCAAAACTAAGATGGAGATTCAAATTAATTTTCCTAGATCTGACAATTTATTTGATACGTGTTTCGCACTTTTTACAAAATCCATCCGAACCTTGCTAGAAAAAGCGATTTATTTAAACATCACCCACCACCACGAAAATCAGCAAAACAATTTGATCGATTTTGGCTCTTAATTTGATGTGCTTCAAACTCATTTTCAAATATTCAAATGAAAAAGAACTTGAGACGTGGAATTCAAGAAATTACGCCTTGAATTGATATGATTTGGAGGGCTGAATATGGGTGAAAAATGTTCGACTAAGAAGCAAGAAGGTCGGCTAATGCCAGCTAGTATATATATATATATATATATATTTTATATATGCATAAATGTTTTTTTTTTGCTATCAAATTGGAATTCATTCAAAATGAATTTTAAGCTCTAATCAAATAATCTTTTTCAGTCACATGTTCTGCAAAATTGTCTATTGAAATGGAAATATTTTCACGTCGGTCAATTGAAATGAATATTTGTTGTCAAGGTAAGATTTATATGATAAATTAATACGCTTTTGATTGAGTACATATTAATACATTAATAATACATTAAATATTAATGTATTTGCAATTTGCAGTCTTGATTTTCTTTTAATTGACTATTCAATGCGAAAATTGTTTTTATATTAAGCGCGTAAGCAAGCATGCGCTGAAGATTAAATACCCTTGTCGACATTTCCATTTTTGCTGATAGGAATCGTATAGGAATCGAGTAGGAATAGTGCAGCCCAAAAATGCTGAGTCTGCTGACAATCGTCCAATTGCAGCTATATGATATAGTGTCCCGATGTTGATTAGATTTTACATATACATGAGGATCATAATGAAACTAATAAGACCCGAGCTTTTCCGAGTTTACCTTAATATAAAAAATGGTTTTGATATCAGAGCCAACATTTCGACCGATCGTTCCAATGGCAGCTATATTATATACTGGTCTGATATTAATAACATATTAGATGCATTTAGGGGGTATGGTTACCGAGTTTGGTCAAGATATCCTGATAAAGAAACAGCTCTTCGAACAATCGTTCCTATGGCAGATATATATGTACTGCCTCCATAAGAAAGACGAACTTTTAAAACTGAGTGACCCGTTCGCATAGAAATCGACAGACGGACATGGCTCTATCAACTCGGCTGTTGATGCGAATCTAGAATATATATACTCTATGGCATTGCAGATGTCTCCATCCATATTCGCTACATATTTCATGACAAGATATAACAATGTATAATATAAAATAATATTATATAGTAAAATTAATCGTTAACGGAAATTTGTTTCAATTCAGTTAAATCGGGTTAAACGAATCAAACCTTTTGCAATAATGTCATGACAAATTCTGGCCGCAGATAATCATGTGCATGTGTGTGCGTGAGTGTGTGTGCGTGCTTTGAAGACCCAATAAATATAAAAGTTTGGCCATCAAACTGAACTAACCGAAGTTTACGAGCTGCCAAATAAATGAAGATGAAAGTCATTCGTTTCTGGTGTCGTAAAGTGCATAAAATTCAGTAAAAGTTGACTAAAAGCAAAAAAAAAAACACACAAAAATATTGCCGTGACTTTCAATGAGGTTGTTGCTGATGTTGACAAGCCCAGCCCCCACCCTAACCCCGAGGGGGTGCTCAGTTCGCTCGCTGTGAAAACTGTTAGTACGAATATATTTTATTTAAAGTCAGGTGTTGTTGCTGCTGCTGTTGTCAGATGATTGACATAATTGCCAGCGGCTGTCTGCAGCGAATTGTCCACCAAACAGAAATAGAAATTGAATGATTGCGGTCAAGTGCTGCGCTGCGCTGTGCTGCTGGCATCCTTAGCGTGGTCGCACTGTGGCAGCAGCGATGTCGTCAGCACTCAGGGGGGAGGCGTGCCTAAGCGCCCTTCGACGACATCGGCGCTAATGCAAGGCGACACATGTCAACTTTAGACACATATGCAACTATATAGATATATATATATCGCCCACGCCCACGCCCACGCCCATGCCCATGCCCACTTTAAGGGCGTGCTAATTTGTCTTAAATTTGCATTTTAATACGCAATATTCATATCGCTTGCCATGTATGTGTGTGTGTGTTATGTGTGTTTTGTGTGTTATGTGTGTTATGTGTATTATGCATAATACCCGTTTCAGCATAAATATGCAAATCAGCGGCCGCAAAACGCCAACAATGCGTTGCATAATTATGCAACTCGTATAAGTTGGCCTCCGTTTTACACATGTTGCGACCTTCCTTCCAGTTGCAACTCCAGCTACACGCTTGCCTCTGCCATTTGCAGCATTTCAGTTGCCCAGTAAAATGAATGTGTGCAGGGCATATTCGGGTTGAGAAATTAACGCATATAAGCTTTGAGTCGATTAAACATTTTAACATTTAATAGCTTATCAGATGTGTATTAAATGTATCCTTATGATTTAGGAGCTAACAATGAATTTTTCAAATCAATTTGAACCCATTTTTCCACTTTTCGTTATAAAAATCTGAATATCAAGATTCGTTTTTATAAAAGGCAACTTATATGGTTCCTGCTTGTTGATTTGTCTATTGGCTTTTAATTGGTGCAAAGCTATTCGGTTGAGATTTAAAAAAGTTATTGCATATTTAGTTAGCCAAGCTACAAAATATGACAGAGATATAATTTTAGGAATTACAAAAAAAAATGGCCAAGGAAAATTTTAAATACTGTTTAAATACTGTAGCATAGTGTGAACAATATTCGAATATTAAAAGGGCTATTATAATTTGAGGAAATATATATTTTTTGGGAGCTATGTACTATGTGTAAATTTGCTTTAAGATTCTCAAAAAACCATATGTTTCCTCAAATATACAGACAACTTTTGACATATATTAAGTAAGTGATATTTATATTTAGGAAATGATATTTTGTAATATATACGTAGGTATATTGAGTATTTTATCGTCCTTTAGGATTTTGCAAAACTTCAACAATTACAAAAAACGAATATTATTTATAGTTAGCCTAGGGCTTTTTATAGGCCACTGCTGAGCTATGGGGAAAGTAATATCTTATGATATATAAGTTTGTATGGCATGCTATAATGCCATAAGATTACCCAAAACTCTTACAAAATCAAAAGACAGCTACTTTATAATGATAGCCTAGGGTTTTTCATAGTCACCCGCTGAGCTGTGGCCGTTTAATATTCAACTGTTTTCTCGATTTTTTTTTTTCTGTTACCAGCTGCTGGGCAAAAAGTTTTGTGGCATGCTAAAATGGCAGCCAAATGGCTGTGCAGCCAGAGTCAGCACGGAAATTATGCATGAGCGCCCCGCTGCCCAGTTTACAAGTGCTACGACACACCTACATGTCCAAGCATACGACGCCACCCCCCCGCCGCCACACTCCTTTTGCCAATTTACCGCGCTGCACCTCTTGCAGTTGACATTAAACCGCTAGCCTGCAATCGAAGCACTTTTAACTGTCAGAATGACAGGCATGGCGTACATCTGGCAGCGCTGCCGTCGCAACAATCGGCGTTGCCACATCAAAAAGTAACCAAAATGCAAATAGTTGACATGGACTTGAGGTTCCCGGCCGGGCAGATACAAAAGGAAGCAAAAAAAAACATTAGCTACCAGTTGTTGGACAGGCAGCCGCAGCTGTAACGAGTACGGCCGGTTGTTGTCATTGTTGTTGTTGTTGCTGGCCTTTGTTGCCCACCGGCTTTGTCTCTAAAATGGCCGTACATCATTTCCGCTTTGCGCTGCTTTCCTTTGCTTCAAATTTTACGGCCTCGCATTTGAACATTTGGACACACGCACACAAAATCAACGCTGCGCGAAGCCAACGGCAAATCATGGCACGCTCCGTTAGTTCCTAACGCACCCTCTGTACTCTCCTCCGACTGCACCAACCCCACGCCAATCCGTTGATGAAGAGGCCCCTTTTGCGAGCGAAAATCAAGGCCAATGGGCACGCCCACATTAAGTCGCTGCGCTAAAGCGACATTTTTCACTTTGTTTTTCTAATTAAATTGCAATGAGCAACAATAGTGACAACAACAAATACGACAACATCAACAACAACAACAATAAAAATAGCGACAACTGAAAGAGCGAGAAGCTTTCTAAGTGCCAAAGTTGTCGAATATTCTCCGAGTCTTTGGCCACAGCTCATAATTACGAGCACTTTTCCAATTTTGGGACACATTCATACGCCCCGTAAGCACACAATAGACTGGTGGGGTGGGGCGGTTAAGTGGGGCGTGGCCATGCATTGATTGAAATTTAATATGGCTGTACTTTTGTGCTGCGCGCAGCGCGGTATACAAATTAACAACTTTTTTATTGACAATATTCCATGGCCGTCAAAATTGTTGCAAAGTATTCGGCCATATTTAACACTGCCTGCAAAAAGTTTGCGCACAAGGCAAATTAAATTCAAGAAAATCTAAGAAACTAGAATAATTGTCGAAATGTGCTTAACATTTGATAAGTAAATAGAACAGACTGTTAATTAATATGCATTTCAAGAGTTGGATATTGTCTTATAGAGCCGGATTGCAGCCATAAATTATGAGTATAAGTAGGACCTTTTTTATTAGAACATTGTCACGAATAACGCTAAGCATACTGGAAGACATCTCGTAATCCACATATGTATTCTTGATCAGTAACAGCAAACGGCTCGATATAGCCTCGTACATTTTCCTATGTGCCTTACAAATGCACAAACATTTGCAATACCTGACCAATTTATCATAAAGCTCTTTGGAAAGAAGGGAACATGAATTTTTGTTTAGATAACTCTTCTGTTTTCGATATATCTTCACTCAACAATTGGCAGTTAAAAGCTTTACTTTCTTCCTTACAAATTTGCAATATCTAACTAATCTCTGCATATAAATCTGTTTGTCCTGACTGAGTGACTGACTGATTGATTACCCCTTGGTGGAAATGAAAAATCATTTGAGAAGTGTTTCACATTTTTCGCAGAAACAAAGCATCCTTGGTAAAAAGTGCTTTTCTACGATTATTTTGGTACGGTTGTAAGTTTTGTTTGATTTGCTTCGAACTTATGTTCGGAGCTCTCCACAAGAACTTAATAAATATGTGTTTCGGCGATTTGGAAATGGGTATTTAGCCAAAAATGTTAGTATGCATTTTTTTTTGTTTTCCATCCGATCGTTCTCAAACTCATTTTCAAAAAAATTTGTTCAAATTCATATTGGGCGTGCTTCGCATTTTTTTTTTTTTTTTGAAAATCCATTCCTCCTCGATATTTATCAGCTTGCACACGACTCATTCATAGATGCGCATACTGTTAGCTACGAGTGTTGTTAAATACACACAAATTGCTCTTGAATTAAGTTTAGACGCAGATTTTAAACTGGCTGAATGTCAGAGCGAGCGCAATTTGGGATTTATTGTAATGCACCTGAATGGGAAAGTGAACAGTCAGCACGAGTTGCTGCTGTAGGGAAGGTCGGGCTGAAGTCTGTAACAAGGGCGA